CTCTCTTTCATTATGTTTAGCTAAGTTTATAATGTCAACATGAAAAGGTTACACTAATGGTGTTAGGATAAGTATAGTGTAAACTTAACACGGACTTTAATGTTTGATACTAACATGTTTTGTATTTGTTATCTTGTTTACTTTTACTACTTTACTTGTTAAATGGTTAATCTAGATTTGTATTGTATAACACTTGGTACAAAAAATAATTGGCCTTTTCATAGCCCAACCATATGGTATAACTGACACTTGTGCCATAAAAGGAATCTTATTTGTTGTTAACATAAGTTATAATTATGAATACCTAACAACATTTACAAGTATTAGTATTATTCGAATAAGATAACTAATGTAATCATGTTAACAATTTATAATTTGATTGAAACCTCCTTTGTGTGTGATTTCCAATTGAATAATAAGGATTTATACTATATTTGTTTGAAATATCATTCGTAGATTCTCTAACCTTGACATTTGTTTTTATCATTGTTTAATCCTCACGTTGATCTTTAATCTCAAAGTTCTTATTAACTTCTTCTTCTTCTTCTTCTTTATTATTATTATTATTATTACTATAATTGTTGTTGTTATTATTATTATTACTACTACTATTATTGTTTTTATTTATAATTTATACAATTAACCTCCTTCTAGTTCGACCCCGGTCTTATCAGGTAATTTATTACTACGACACTTCTACACTTAGGAGAAGACACCAATCTTTTGGTCGTGCCAGAAGGAAGGCTTGATAAGGAGTTGTTTTCTTGCAAAAATTTTAGAATTTCAAAGCTATTCCAGACATAGAAAACATTTTGACATTGATTCAAAGCAAACTTGTTCTGAAGAAATTCAAGTGATTCCTATTGAGAGGTTTTTAGAAGTGATGAAAACTCTTTATTTTGCTTTTGGTGAAAGTGAGTGACATTTAGTTGGTCAAAAAGGTTTAAGATTTAATTTGAGAGTTTCAAAGAAGTAGTGTTCAAAGCATTCATTTTATTTGCATGAATAATGATTTGGTTTGCATGAGAAAACACTACCTACCGATATAAATTACTTGCCTTTGATCAAAAAGGGTTTGATTAGGAACGTAATGTAGGCTTGGGCTCTTGGTTATTGTCGCATCCTCGCTAGTGGAGCGCAGGGTCGTGACGACCCACGATTGATTTTGGGGCCTTTTGTTTTGATTCGTGGATAAAGGAGTCACCACCTAGTATTTTGGTCACTAAAAACTCTAACTAGTCTTTCAGAGATTCTAAGGTAAGGGATTGATTGAGTAAAGGAAATGTATTAGCACTCCTAGTACACCTTACCTAAAGTAAGCTGCTTGGTATTTGGCTTGCCTTATAATTGCTATAGTTTTTGTGTTTTC